ACCGTTCGTTCGTTTTTTTATTTTTTTTTTTTTTTAATTTTTTTATTATATATATATATATATATATATGTATACATATGGCTTTAACGTGCGTTCGTTCAAATTTACCGCGACAAGAGAGTGATTTGTAAGATAAGAAGTTTCCAAGGTTACTCATCGATCGATCTATTTTTATCATCGAAAATAATATTTATTAGATTTAATAATATAATAATGATTAAATTTTCCTCGTAACAATTATTGGATTGGAAATTTTTTTTATTTAGAATCGAAATTTAGGACAACTCTGTCAATTAAAATTTTATTGATAAAAAAGAAAAAAAAATAACGTTCCAATTAAGAAGATCGATCGATTTAACTGATGGAAACTGTCCATCTGTTCCTAGTGCACATTGCACGAAAAGAGACGAAAGAAGACGTGCAAAAAGTGATTAATTAAGGATAAGAGACAGAATGGCACGTAGGTGTGATAAGTATCGCGATGTGCACGCTTGCTAGTCCGTAAGAAGTTTAGTGAAAGACACCGATGATGACGCGCTATGCATCATCATAATCGAGATTAAAATGTAAATTGGATCTTTAACTTGGCTTAAGAAAAGCTCAAGTCTAAATTAACTGAAAGGCGCACTTTCATCGAATAGGAATAATTAAGAATTTGTATAGAATGGACAATCGATTTTTTTCGAAGATTGTCAAATTTTTATAAATTCTTAAAAAAAATTAATAAAAAAGAAAATCACTCATTTCATCGTGGATTAGATTTTGACAAGTATTTTGCAGGACAATAAAAATAAAAGTTTTTTATTGATAATAATAAAAAAACTAATAATCTTTTCAAAAAGTACTAATACTAAGATTTAAAAAAATTTGTAATGATCTATTTCTTGCGTATTCCATTTTAATTAAACTGATTTATCGATTAAATTTGAAATTGTTTGAAATTGTAAGAATATTAACGAAATTGAAACATCTAATTTCGGCTTTCATTCGAACTTTATATTCTCAAGAACTACTTGTATTTACAAAGTAATATGCTTTACAATACGTGTTACATTATAAAGCGATAGGTTACGAGTGCACGATCGTTTTTCGTTTCGATCATTTTCGATCGTTGTTCAAAAAATTCTTGTTGTGCATATTTCAAAGATACGCGTTGATATTGTTTTTTAGTGGCTTGATTCTTTTTCTTTGAAAAAATTGTATATAAATATAAGACTGGATCTTATAGAGACAGAACAGAATGTATGACTAAATATGTTGCAAATTGAATTATCTATGGAAATATTTAAAAAATTTATAAATCGTTGAATTGAATTTAATTCAATTTGAAAATAACTTAATTATTCGAAAAATATATAAATAGATAGTGCATTTTCTTTTTTTTTTTTAAATTTATTAAAAACGTTTATTTAAAAACGTTTTTTGTTTATTTTTATAAAATGATGATTAAGATATTAATTAATTGTTTTATATTTACGAATTATCTTAAGCAATTATTTAAACAAATAATTGAAATTTTCTTACGATAAATAAGATCATATCTTGATATTAAACAAAATCCAAAAAATAGTAGATTTTTTTTTATTTTTCAAAATATCAAAATTATTAAACCATAACATCTTTAATGATACATTCTACATGTTAAACGACTAGAATCTAAGTCTCGATATGTTCTTTTCTTATCTTAGAACAATTTAAATGATTCTTCAACCGTGTATGTTGTATGAAAGTGGAAAAAGATCATCTTAAGAAGATTAAACAATGCACGGTAGTTATTGCCATTTTCTTAAAATCTTAGTATCACGTTTTATCAAGAACAGGGTAGAAACAAATTACAATTCTTTTTTTTCTTCCGAGCCATAGAAGACTGCTAAATTTCGCCAAGCTTCATCCATGTTTTATCATCTTTTATACTCGTCCAATCTTTTTACATCATGTATTATTTCTTTATATATACAATATTTTGTATAAGAAGACATACACACAGATAGTTCAAAATAATAATAGAATGATTTTCCTTTTCAATAAAATCTTATTGTTACAGAGATTCTTTAGATGGAATCATAATGTATTTAAGAGACGAAAAAAGTAAATAATGAATATGCCATTTCGCTGCCTTTTTACTCCGGACTTCCACAATGAATTGTGCGCTATGTGGGAATGGTTGCCGCTCAAAGAATATTGTTTCACGTGTATGCGTATTTCATGCACTCCATCAACTTTTGTCAGTCATTGTACCAAACAATGTTATGAATATTTAATACACAACGATTTGCAAAAAAAATAATATAGTAATACTTTTTATTTAGTATTCTTTGTTCTTTCATTTTTTAAAATCGATTTGCAATTTTTATCAAAAAATATTTTAAATGCATTTTTATATTTCATCATCATGTGATAATATGATGAAACAGATGAAATAAAGATTAAGATACATTTTAATTTTAAAAAAGAAATAATGAAAGTATATTCAATTGATATCCTCGTTGTAATTACGTGTTAAAAGATAAGTAGGCGAAACATAGGGTAAAAACTGAGAAATCAGTATTATCTCTTGAATGTTAAAAATGTCTTCTTAAAAACATTCAAGAGATGGTACTGAAGTTCAATTCTTATCCTATCTCTGTACTGTTCCTACTATTTACTCTCTTTATTTTCGTTTGTTCTTTAAAATTTTGCAGTTGAAACATATCTAATTAATAATAAAATCCGCAAGAAATAGAAGAAACGTTTACGATTTCTAAATTATAATTAAATAAAATATGACTTAATTAATAAAATTCTTAATATTGTGTTATAAATAATAATAATAACTTAATATAACATAATAATAATTATTTTTATATAGTTATTCTACTTACAAAATAAATCAGGAGTATTAATATCGTTTAAAAATTAATACATATATAAAAGAAATATATACAATTATAAAAATAAAGTCAAGATGAATTTAAAATATGTATTGTATTTACATTACATTATATAGTAAGATGTATGTATTTAAATATTTACAAACATAAATCTCCATAAATGATTGTTGAATAATTTAGAAAATGAAAACTACCAATCAAATAACACATAGAAATTCAGCTTAATGTTCACATCTAAGACGTGAGTTTAGTAAAATAGCTAAAATGACAGTAAGAATTTATATTATCAAGTGACAGGACATTATATACGATTTGAATTTTTTCAAATAAATATATTAATTCTCCATTTTAAATATACAATAATTATCCCGATTTATATATATAATCTTAAGAAAACATAACCATGTTAAACGATGTACCAAAAAAATTATCACGAAGCTCTGAAACAACTGAGGTACGTCTACAGAACAATTATATGTTTATATAATTAACAAATTGACAATCAAAATTTATAAAAAGTAAATATTAAAGTTAATTTTTATTTCATAATATTGTCATTTTATGTATTAATAATGAAATATAAGTAATAATACGATGTCCATTTTTTATTACATATTTCCCTTTCACACAATCCTCACCATTTTTAAATTGTTTTATTACTATTTATATTCAATTTATTTTTTAATAGAACTTATAAAATATTCATTTATTTGTGCACTTCTTGTCAAATTGTTTTAAATAAATGTTATTTAGTATTCTAATAGAAATATATATGTAATGTCCATCTCTACTTATTTGTAGCCCTCTATCGGAATTTTTAATAATAAATCTGTTCTAAACAGAAAGCGGGAAATATGATTTAATAAAATATGAAATTTAAATATATTACAATGTTTTTAGGTTGATGTTCGCGAAGATGAAGAACAAAAAAAGAAATTTCAAGATATTATTGATTTACTTTTGGCAGCAGGCTATTTTCGAGCTAGGATAAAAGGATTATCAAACTTTGATAAAGTATGTATAATATACATAAATTTTAAATTTAAATTAAAAAAACTCATTAAAAACAATAAACATTATTGTAATGTTTAGGTAATTGGTGGAATGACCTGGTGTATAGAATCATGTAATTTCGATGTAGATATTGATTTATTGTTTCGAGAAAATCTTACTATAGGCCAAAAAATGTAAGTAAATTTGTAAAATATCTTGATTTTTTTAACATCTTACATATTTTATATTTAGTTCATTGACCGAAAAAATCGTGGCTATGCTACCCAAAATGAACTGTCCATATCGTATAGAACCACATCAAATTCAAGGTTTAGATTGTATTCATATTTTCCCCGTCATTCAGGTAAATAATTTTATTTCTTGAATTTTTAATTTTTTTATAAACATTTTAATAACTAATAATTATTTTCAGTGGTTAGTAAAGCGTTCCATGGAAACTCGAGAACAAACGGCAGATTTTGTGCGGTCGTTTGCTTTAAGTCAATTTAATAAGAAACATTCTTTTTCTGAAGATTCATATACAACACAAATAGTTAAAGAAAATTTAATAAAAAATATTCAATTGATTACGGTAAAACACATTTCCAAATTATGGTGATAATGTAAATAAATTTAGATAAATATTTAATCTAAATAGTTAAAAATTTTTTTTAGAAATCATATGAACCTCGGCGTCTTTTTAAACAGAAAGATGGCTCTAAAAGAGAAGAATCTACTAAATTTCTTAGTACTGTTTTGGAATATGAAGCACCTCTCTATTCTATAAAAATTACTACTTCGCCAACTGAAACTATTTCAAGTGATTTTAAAGAAGATGAAAATAAAGAAAAATTAAAGGAAAAAGTAAATAAATTATGTAAATAGATAAAATTTATGATTTTTTCAATGTTTTTCTTTATAGGAAAATACAGAACAATTAGCTGGAAATTTAGCTGTTATTGAAGAAAATTCAGTAAGCAATTATATTATTATAATTGATATTAATTAAATAATATTAATTATGTCTTTATGTAATATTTTATTTATATAGGCTCGTTTAAGCGTAACGGCAGTAGGCAATATTGTTGGTATTCAAGCTCAAGAAATTGCTAAAGTAGCTGAGAAGTATGCGACGATGTCGACATCTGAAACTGAGGTAAATTTTTTCAATTTTAAATTTAAGATAAACTAATTTATAATTAAATTTTATTAATGATATTGCTAATTATAGGAAACTAGTGGCACAAATTCTTCAGCAGCTTTGACCACATTAGAAAATCAAAAAGTTATGCTTCAAAATCGTGTTCGTAAATTAACGAAAGAAAGAGACACCTTATCCGCTAAACATTTAGAATTGATTGAAAAATTAAACGAATCTCGTGCAAAACGACAAGGTATTGAACGTTCATTAAAAAAGGCACAAGAAATGGATATTAATGAAAATGATAGGTAATTATCTTTCTATTGTATTTTTACAATTATTATTATCGCATAATTTTTATATCAATAAAAAAAATATTATTTTAGTATCTATAAACGTTTGGAAGAACTTCTTTTAGTACATGATGGTTTAAAAGAACAAGAATTTAATTTCCGAGAACAATGTAAATCTGATTTAAATCTATTAAAAAATAAATTGCAAGAAATCGAAAATGGTACATCTGAAGAAGAGGAAGATCGTTTAAAGGAATATGAAGAGCAAAAAGAAGCAGTTATGAAAGTCAGATTACAATTAGCCAAAAAGAATAGAGCTATTGCCTCCTTAACTAGACAATTGGATGATGTTCCTGGCCGTTCAGAACTTACGCAATACCAAAGACGATTTATGGAACTATATAATCAAGGTTTGCTAATCTATTTTTATACATCGGTATTCGGTTTTTTATTAGATGACTGCAATGTTGTTTCATTATTATTTATTGACTTACAGTTTCGGCAAAGCATAAAGAAACAAAACAATATTATACATTGTATAATACTCTCGACGATACGAAACTTTATTAAGTAAAGAATTATCATTACTAAATTCGATTCAAGATAATTATAATGAGTAAGTAATAAAACTTTATATTTATGCTTATATTTATGCATGCATAATTATGTATTCTTTTTTTCTTTCACATTTTTTCTCAGAGCCATGGCATCAGCAAGTGGCAAAGAGGAATTTCTTAAACAATTCGAAGCAATCGTCGCAGGTGTAAAACGCAATAAGACAAAGGTAAAAAAAAAAAAATCTCCTAAATATAAATACATGTTATATAAAAAAAAACAATTAACTAATGTTGGAAAATATAAAGTTAAAAAAAAATATAAATTATTAGTCTATAAAATTAATTTTAAAATAAAGTATAGAGTTATATTTTGATAAGAATATAGATCGCGTTTCATGTAGGTAGAAAAACGATGTGCTGATGAAAAAAACAGGAGAGATGCACTCAGCCGACAACTGGTTACTTTAATAGAACAACAACGCAAATACGTCGCTGCGGTCAGGCAACTCACTATTGAATGTCGTAAAAATGAGGCCTTGCTCGCACAATTGCGTGGTCCGTAAATATAGATTTAATTTCTATTTATTATAAAATATATGAAATCCTCGTATTTTTGTCTCTTAATTGTTTATTTCATCAATATGAATTAATATCATAAGAAAATTATGTTAAAGGAATGGATATATCATCTGAACAATACAATAATCCTTAAATTTGAGAGCAAGACTGCGAGGAAGAAATAAGGTAGCAGCTTCTATTTATGTTCATACTGTGTATACATCATTAATATATATTACATTTTTCTTATTTTAGATACATATTCGAGAGAATAATTTGTTGTGAAATTAAAAAAAAATTTAAGATTGAACCATTCCTTTATTCCTTACAATATTACTTTTATATGAAAATATATGAACTCGTTAAAATAATTATTTTTCATTTACCTTCTATCATCCATATATTATTGTATGACTTACGGATAAATTCGCGTCAGAAATTAATTAATGCGAATATAAGGTTGAGATTATATTTAAAAAAATATTTGTAGCATTGTAGATATCGCAATCGAAACAGTTATACAATTTAAAATAGTGAATTGCTAAAGGCACATGATGTAACTTACGTGTTCACCGTAAAATATAGATGAATGCAATATACATTATATGCACACCTTTGAGACAATTTTAGGTCGATTATAGATTGCTTTCTGTTTTTCCTTTCATGTTCAGCAAATCAAGTATTTTCTTTATTGCATCATCAGAGCCCTCTTCATTCGTTACTTTATATTGACTATCGCCATTGTTCCTTTCATAGTGCTTATGTGTTCATGTGTTTTCTTCGTCTGGTCAAGGATCTATCGTAGCCATTATCGGTGTACGGTGATCAGTGATATCTTTGTTAACGTTTTTTTAGAATGTAGCGGGTATTCATCGCGACATTTTGGAATAGATACGTAATATGACAATTGCATCGGATGGAAGAACTATTCGTTTAAACTTGTTCCTTTCAAATTAAAGGAACATGTGCTATTTACTCGGTGGCTATTAATGTGATTTACATATATGAAAGAAATATTGCGCGTAAAATGGCAAAAGACGAAGGAGACGACCTCTTGCCAGACAAGGATGCTGCTAAGGGATTTTATGCAAAATATGAACCCAAAGAAATCCTTGGAAGGTTCGTCATGTGATATTTTATATAAAAAAGATATATAACGTAATATTTTTATTTATTTAATAAATACGCATATATGATAAATATGTTAGTGTTTATATTATTAAATTCTGGTACATTGCATGACAATAAATAAATAAAAAAATAATAACTTCTGAATAATAACAAATTAACCTGTACAATTATATAATTTGATGAAATTAAATACGTTCTATTTAACTATGATAGTTTATATTAATAAAATATAATGCATTTCGAAAAAATTTAGAAATGATAATTTGGTAGAACAATAGAATAGAATAATACTTTGAAATATTATATTGGATATTGGATATTGAAAATAAAAAATTTATTTTTATCAAATTTAGTTTTTATTACATTGTTTTAAAAAATGATTATTATACAATTATAATTGAAGCATATATATATCTCATAATTATATTGTTTTAAAAGAATTAACATATTATGATAGTTATAACAAAGAATTATATATATTTCATTATTTTTTAAATATCCTAGACTTAAAATCTTCAATATTAATAAAAAAATTTTAATTTTAAAATTTAATTTTAAAAATTAGTTTTTTATTTATTATAATAAATATTGTAACTTATATATATTAAATTTACAGAGGAATATCTTCCACTGTGAGAAGATGTATAGAAAAAGAAACAGGTATAGAGTATGCAGCTAAAATCATAGATATAAGTAATGAAAATGAAGATGGACATACTATGAAGGATGCTACATTACAGGAAGTACAAATTCTTCGTAGAGCAGCAGGTCATCCTTATATTAGTAAGTTATTAATATATTAATAAAAAACATTAATTACTTAAAATAAAATAAAATTATCTTTTTGCATTATATTTTCTTTATAAAAAATTTAAATCCATTAAAAATACATAAATTTTTTTTAAAATTATTTGTATTTATTTTTTAGTTGAATTACATGATGTCTTTGAATCTAGTACATTCATATTTTTAATTTTTGAAATTTGTAAAAATGGTGAATTATTTGACTACCTCACATCTGTTGTTACTCTCTCTGAGAAAAAGACACGTTATATTATGAGACAAGTCTTTGAAGGTGTTCAACATGTACATAATCAGGGGATAGTTCATAGAGATTTAAAACCAGAAAATATATTACTTGATGATAATTTAAATGTAAAAATAACTGATTTTGGATTTGCTAGACTATTAAAAACTGGAGATAAATTATATGGTATGTAATAATTATAATAATTATAAAATTCAAAATTTAATTATATAAAATTTAAAATTTATTATTAATGTTTTTTAGATCTTTGTGGTACTCCTGGATATTTAGCACCAGAAGTACTTAAATGTAATATGTTTGAAAATGCAGAAGGTTATGGTCATGAAGTTGATATGTAAGTATTTAAAATATGATATATATAATAAAAACAAAAAATTATAATTAATAATTATTTTATTAAAATAACTAAAAAATAATTATAAAAATTATTTTATTAAGATATTTATTAAGATAGAAATTAATATTGATATTTTTTAGATGGGCCTGTGGAGTAATTATGTTTACTTTATTAGTTGGTTGTCCTCCTTTCTGGCATAGAAAACAGATGATTATGCTTAGAAATATTATGGAAGGAAAATATTCATTTACATCTCCTGAGTGGGCAGACATAACAGGTATTTATTATTGCTTATTAAAATATAATTTCTTGAAAAAAATAATAGTTTATGTTTCATATGGCATGTGGAGTAAATTTATGCTTAATTAACATAATGCATGTATATGTATGCATCATTTTCAGGGAATTTTATTTCAATTTTAGTTATTGTAATTGATAAATACACTTATACATTATTATATATTATTAATCACACAATAAGTATTTAAAAATATGTGGAAATGATATTGCTCAGCTTTAGTAGTAAAAATGCATATATATTTACATGAAATTTTTTGAATTATATATTCATTTTTTTCTTTTGTTTCATTAACAATCAAAACCAATTATTATTACTATATACAAACAAATATAAATAGTCTTTTTAAAAAGTCAAAGCTAGTACAATGTTATACAATAGTTAAAATTTTGCAAGACACAAACAAAATTTTAGGTGGAAGTTTTTGTCATTGAATTGTAATGATGCACAAGCATGAATTAAAATCCATGGTAATATCAGAAAAGTATTATCATCTTGAGTAATCATCTAAAAGTTATATCATCTTGATGTGAGCTGCTTCATATTTGGAAAATATATTAAAGGTAAGAGTTGTTACTAACAAATCTTTGAACATGATGCACATTTTTTTCATAAATAAATAGGATGCAATTACATGTATGTTTTTTTTGTATATTCATCCAGATATCTTATAATATACTTTTTAATGTTCATAAATTTTTATAATAGTAAAATTACCATTATATTTTCAGAGGCTCCCAAAGATTTGATAAGAAAATTATTAGTTGTTGATCCCAAGAAGAGAATTAGTATCAAAGAAGCATTGGAACATTCATTTTTTCATACAGTGGTATGTATCTTAGTATAACATATTTACAATACAAACATAATGTTATTATTATATAAAAATTTAATATAATATGTAATATTTTTTAAAGATATCTATTATTTTATGCATTTAAAATAAATATATTATATTCATATTTTTATGTTTTTATTTGTTTGCTTTATATATTCAACTATCTATATTCAAAATTAAACTTAATGCTTTTATAAAATATTAAACATTATTAAATCCTGTTTGATATTAATTAAATTTTATATATATAATTAATTTAAAAATAATTCCTTTAAAATAAAATTAAATCATAATATTATGATAAAAAATTATTGGAATTACAGCTATGGGATCAAGACATCGCTCCTTTAAAACGTTCGCTATCATCTAATTCGCGGCGTCTAAGTAGGATATCTCAGTTAGCTTTGGTAAATTATTTTTGTTTTTATTTTGTTTGTCTCTAAATGTGAGTTCTTTTGATTGTAATTTTCATATAATATATACATATAACAGTTAACATTTTAGCTTCTATTAATATTTCAAATTAATCAATATAATATTTCTATTTATTTTTTTTGTATTTTTATTTTTGTTTATAAAATATATTTTTCACTAAAAATTTTCTTTTTATTTAAGGAGCAATACATTTATTCATATCAGTTATAAATATGCATAACTTGATCATCATATTTAAGATAAAGCATAATATAAATATAAAAATGTCAATTAATAGTATTAAATTAAAATTAATTAACTCAATTAATAATAAAATATACTGCAAATAAAATATTAATGAAGAAGCATTATTTCAATATTAACTATATTATTTATTATGTTGAAAAATTATTATAAAAATATAATATTTAAAGCTTTATATGTACATATTAGCTGTTTACCTCTTTGTAAAAATTTTATAAAAATCATTACATTTTCAAGCATGTAAAAAAAAATTATATTAATTTCTTAAAACTATTTATTATTTTGTTTTTATATATTATTTCATGATTATATGTATTATAATATTTTGTTTCCACTAAATGTAATTGTACATACATGATTTAACATTTATTCATTGCTATGTTTAATAATACTTGTATCAAATGATATAAAAATATTTAATTATGTTTAATTATATTCATAAAATTCATAAAATTTTCAAATTTTTTATTTTGTACAGGAATTAAAGGCAAAATCGTTTAATGCAAGAAAAAGATTCCAGTTAGCTATAATTTGTGTACGTGCAGTTGTTCGCATTAAACGACTTCACAATACACCTGAACCTCTTTCAACTCAAGTAGCATGCACTGATCCTTATAGAATCAAAATTTTACGAAAGGTATTATATTTCTGCTTAAAAATACTATCTTTTTAATATATATTTTGTTTTTTATTTAATTCTATTTTTCGATTTGTTATATAAAGTGACTATATAATAATAAAATCATTTTTGTTGTAGGTTATTGATGGTTGTGCATTCAGAGTTTATGGTCATTGGGTAAAGAAAGGAGAAGGACAAAATCGAGCTGCACTTTTTGAAAATACACCAAAGACAGAACTTAAACATCTTTATGTTAGTAATTTGAGCAGATAACTAATGCTTTAATACAGCAATCTAGTTAAAATTGTTACTTCTTATTTAGATAATATTTACAGTATCTAAGAAAAAAAAATAAAAATAAATAACTTACACATAAAGGTAAAATATGTATAAAGCTTTTTCTTGACTTTGATTGCAATATAAGTAATTGTTTAAACAATTTTTATAGTAACAATAAAGTATTTATAGTCTTTTATTTTTGCAGTATCATAAAGTAATGTAATGTATTAATTATTTTAAGTGTTCTGAAAACATAATTGGATTGTTTAATTTTTGATTGCTCTTTAATGATTTTTTTTGGTTGAAAATAGATTTAAATTAATCAATTATTTCTTTCTAGTATCTTTCATTTATTATTATTTATTATTCTTAAAATAATATTAATTATGCTCAATAAGTATAAATTATATGTAATATAATTAAAAAAATACTAATAATGAAGAATAATTCTTTTAGTGATGTTGAAAATTATTAATATCACACTGTTAGTGTGTATATTTTATGTATTTTATATCTAAAAAAAGTATTATGTTAAAAATTGTAAATCTGTATTTTGAATTTTCTGTTTTAAATCTGTAATATTTTCTTTACAGTATTCTTATTTTTTCACAGAAAATTATATATGAATATAAAATAACTTATATTCAAATATTAAATAGATTAAAATAATTATTATATGTGCTAAAAAAAAAAATAAGACTTACAGATTGTATGTTGAATATAAATAACGGTGCTGATAACGTACAAACATAATGCAACATATTGTTCCATGACTCTATTTTTTATGTTTGTACGTTTTTATTATTATGTATTTAATAATTAATAACATTAAATTTGTACTAACATTTCAACTGTAATATATTCTTGATATTTAAATATTTAATACATTTTATAAAAATTGAACGTAATTTTAAATAATTATAGTACAAAATATTTCTGAATCTATATTGAGAGAAAAAAAAAATTAAATTGTCCAGAAATTAATCAAGAATATATGTATACAGTAAAAGATTTAGAAAAATCATTAGAAAATATATAATATATATTATTATAAATTTCTTCACATTTGCAACAAGTGAAGTGAATCTTATAATAATATTATTTACAAAGATCTGTATGTAAATTATAGTATAATTGTGCAAATTCTAGTCATATATATATATATATTATATATATTAAAATTATTATATATATATATATAATATATATATTTTGTACTGTTGAATTTGTTTTTAAATTATAAATTAATAAAAAAAAATAATAAAGTTCATTCTTCATTTGTGTAGGGGAAAAAAAATGAAATTATATTTTATTAATTAGGATTAGATTGTAGTAAATTAAATTCTATGTCATTTCAATAATTACAAATAAATTAAAAACACATGTCAAAAATTTTTGAAATTATATTATATCATATATTATCATATATATACCATATATCATTACTATATAGTATATATATTTTATGCAAAATGTATATAAAAAGTAAAATATTTTTAATAATACCTAATATTTTATATTTTATTCTCCTCTCTATTAAAAAAAAATTCTCATTATTTAGTAAATCTAAATTTTATTGTTAATTATATTTTTTACATTTTTAATAAATTTTATATTTTTGTATTTAAATATAGAAATTATATTTATATTTTTTATTTATTACTAATTATATATATATTTTTTCTTAAAATAAGAATGAATTATAATTTTAATTGATTATATAGTGTTTTTTGTTTAATTTATTCACATTTTTTTTAAATTACTAAAATTACTAAAATTATATATATATATACAAATTAAATACAAAACTTTTTTTCATTAAATAATATTAAACATATAATATATTTTAAAATATCGAAAACTTAAATATTTTTAAGAAAAAAATTTTGCTATTATACATAGTAAATAATCAAAATAATTTATGTACTACTTTTAAACTAGTGATTAATCATTGAACATATTAGATTTAAATCATTTAAATACATGCAAATTTTTATTAGTTTATATAATATTTAGAAAAATAGTATATAATAAAAACGATTTTATTATAAAAATCTTGAAAAGTATTAAAATTTATATTTTATACAAAACTTAAGAAAATTAACAGAATTAGCTTTTGAAAAAATGACAGGATATGATTTTGGCGCGCGCGCAAAAGTAAACAATGAACTGTATGCTTCTATATAATAGAAGTGGCAACAGTGTAGAGGTCCGATCCATGTGACAGAGAAGGAACGTGACAAAAGGTGGCAGAGGGTGACGCCGCCGAGATCGGAGTGAGTGTTTGCCCGGGCGAGCCGGGTGTCGGGTGTGCTGTGTACGATTGTCGCGATATTCGTCCGTTCTGGCGTCCACCGGAAGGTAAGCCTGCACGTAAAAGATATCGGCTGACTCCAAGATCTTAATTTAATACCTTCTTCATAATGGTATCGAAGAAAACTTGAGAAAATTGCGAAAAAAGTGCACCAACTAACGAGTAATATACAGCAGCTCGACACTTCTCTTACACGCCCAGCGGAGTGCTGCGTCACATGGGCTGCGTTCATTGGTCGATACAGCCAGGTGACGTCATGAACCGCGCTTTGATTGGTCTATACCTCGGACCCCAGACACGTGAATCGTGGCCAAGCAAGCATGGCTGTTGATGCGCAGTGGTTAGCACTTGTAAAATGTTTCTGCCACGCGCTAGATCGATCAGGTTATAACCGTCGTATATTATAAAACGTTGTGAGATCGTCCGCTGTTAAAAAATTTACGAGTGCCTCGTGATTTTCCGTATGTGTCGCATGTTTGACAGCAATAATATCGCAAAAATTCTTGCAAGAAATTGATTTCTACCGTGAAAGTGGGTTCCAGCGTGTTTCCATTGTGACCGGAATACAGTCGTGGCATACCTGTAAGTTTCTGATTACTTTCCATGCGTTTCTGGCGTTACCACGCCCGTTTAAAAGTCTCTACGGAACATTATCTCGTCAGAACTATCGCCTATTTAATTAACATGTGTATAGGTAGTTGCGTGGCGTGTTTTCCGTGCCATAATAGACCTAGCCAATCGCACGGTACTTCAACTCATGACGTCACATTATCGCAAACTCCTATTGGCCAACGATGCGTGCGTCGCCCGTCTAACGTGTGTGTCGCTTTGTCAGTTTAAGGAGCTCGTTTGGTATACTGCACGCTTCTTGACTTTTCGTACTCTTCCAGACAGCCTCTCTTTTATCAACTTGATACAGTGCATCGCTCTTTTTTTCTATTTTTGTATGATTGTAGCTATTATATAATGCAATTGTATTCATTTGTGATCATGGTATGCTTTCGCGATTATACTGCCCGGGATATATCTACTTTTCAAATCAGCGGCAGAACCTCGTTTCTCTATTTCGCCTTTCCCGCCTCTGTCTCGTGAATCTTTTTTCTTCGTTCACTGATTTCTCAGACTGCGCAGCCAACATATCTATATACTGTATTCGTATTCGCGAATACAGCTCTTGCGCGTATCAACGCCACGTAATGACTCTCGTTTCTGCTTTCGATGCTATATATTTGACAAGAACAAACTAATGTAACTTGTCAAATTATGAAGCGCTTTCTGAAACAAATGTATTTTTCATTTTTATAGTGAAGATTAGTATAATTTTAGTGTTAGTAAATATTACAACATTGTTGAAACGTTGCAAAGGTGTAAAGTGTATATAGTTATTATTTCAATTTAATAATATTTTGAAGTTTTTTACAATAGTTTTTAATAATTTATAAGTTTACATATTTATAAGATTTCTAATTTATTTCATTAACATTTATTTTTTTAATTTATGATAAATATTTATGATAAATAGCACTAAAAATGCATAAATATTACAATTTATCAATTATTTATATTGACTAATTTTCAAATTTTGATACAAAAATTTTATATTATCATAATATATTCAAAATATGTAGTTAAAATTTTTCTTATTTGTATTTACTATATTATATTATTTATTTGATATTTTCGAAAAATAAAAAATAATTTTTATATATTTATTTTTACGATCTGTTTTCAAATTATAGATAATGAGATACATAATATTTAGCATTTCTACATCTTATTTTTTTTTTTTTTTGACTGTTAGATTGTTTCCAGTGATTGGAACTCAAGATGCGTGCTAATGCTCTGCGCTCCAGGAAAGCGCGCATTGCGCTTGCGCATTTCCTCCGTGTGGTATTACGAAGACGGTACGTGGGAGGGGATAAAGCTTCCCGCGCGACTGCGTTACGTCACGCGTACGTCACGTGACGTGTACTCAGACACCGGTCGTGTCCGTTCTGTCTGCAACTCCATTCGAATAATATTGTCGAACAACATAGTCTTATATATTAAATAGTCAAAAATAATAATCATGTAATTAAATAATTTGAAGCTGTTTATTTACAAATTAAATGAAGAGGTGACACATGTGATTTTTTCATTGTAATATTGGTTTGCACTTTTTTTGACATTGATTAATCTTATATTGTCTAATTAATCGTTTTTTTTTTTCTTTTTTTCTCGGTGTATTATACTAATTACCGAATAAAAACGATGAATGTGAATATTTATATTATTGTGATCTTTTCTCTATTATTCCAAGATCGACAAATTAAGATTTGGTTACTATGTTCCCCTATTCTTTCCTTTATAATGTCACTGTAATCTGGTGCATTTTCAATATTTTATAAGATCATTCTTTTTTTCTTTTTGTGCGTAGATTGCCACCCGCGGCTGGCAGCAGCAGAAAAAGAGGAGAGTTGAGACACGAGAACGGGCTCTCGACTTCTTCGTCCTCGGCAGCCGGCGACGGGAATCGACGGTCCGATCACAGAGTCTCAATCTCCCGAAGGATCTTAAAGAGAAACAGAGCTCGTCGTGGAGCGAACCGGCAACGTCAGGATGAGCCTGGAAACGTTGCTGGAAGCAGCGCGGTTCGTCGAGCAGCAGGAGAAAAAGAGGGAGCGCCTCGCAAGCAGCTCTTCCTCCTCCTCCGATCATCCGCTTGCTGTAGCTCCCCACTCCAACCATCACAACTCCAACGAGCCACGTGGTGAGTACCACGCGCCACTTTTCGGCGACCGTTCACATATGAATATGTAGAATAGCTTAACGCACCAAGTTGCGTTCTCAAAATCTTCCATGAGCTTCATATTTATCTGATACAAGTAATATTAGTATAAAAATTATGCTTTTTCAAGAATAAGTTTCAATTAAAAAACACAATTTGAACAAAATATATGAATTATGAGAAATCTTAAAAATATTCGTTTATTTTGTTATATACATTTAAGATTTGATCGTTTTTAATTTCAATTTAGAGAATTTATAAATTATGAATTCAATAATTTTATCATTATGACAAATAATCACATAATTTGAAGCAGAATTTTCTTTGTGTCTAGTGTAAAAAAAATTATCAAAGAAATTCATATGCTTTTTATATATTGCACTATCACAACAATATTGTAAAAAATGATCAATATTTTTATTATAATAAAAAGAAATAATTGAAAAATAATTTCATATGAAATGAGAAACACTGCACTGTACATGCGAATAGCACGCGATGACCCACGCGTTCTCCGCCTCCAAATTAGGTATGATTTCCCTCGCAACAGTGATTCTCAGACACGTTGACGGCCTTTTATGCGTCACGCAGTGGAAAGTTCCGTAAAAAAATACTTTAAAATCTATGCGCGAATTTCTCTTACATTCTAATCAATTTAGTCAATCTATTTCTATAGATTGATGTTTAGATTTGATGTTTTCTCTTCTAACGAGCACAGTGATGCTTCAAAGAACATTGAAGATATGTTAGAGGTAGCTGGTTGATGCGATAATAATCGCAAAAGTGTCCGGTTGATCGCTCGAGGGATACCATTCTCGTATCCCTTTGATTCCCGCGTTTTCCCAGGTCAATGACTCAACCGGCCGATCCTGTAAAGCGAGTCTTAGCACACGCGAAAGAGTTCTTGACGGGCATGAAACGCGCGCTGACTGCACGCTACTATGCCATCGGTCTCTTTTTCTACGATTATATTAAGTTTGGCCAAGTCAAATGATTCATCGCAATAAAGTTTTGTGAAAAGATCGCGGAATCAGCTGACACAGTTGATTATAAAAGTTATATAATTATTGCTGAGATAAATTGAAGCAAATGTGTGTATGATTGTGTATGATATTACTGTAATAAAAGAATCCGGATTTCTAATCGAGATTATATTTTTCGTACGAACTTTTTTAATTTTTAAGATCGAAATTCAAAATTTACGAATGCAAATACATCATTCAAGTTCGATTTTTTGCGTATTTTTCTCATGTATCGAATTTATCGCATATTGATTAAATGTTATCTTGCGAGGACGTTAAAGTCGAAGGTTTTCGTGTTAATATCAATGCGTGAAAGTGTATCACGATTGACAAGTAGGCAGGCGAACTGTTTACAAGTTTCAAGGAGATAGAAGGTTGAAAAGTCAAGAGAAGGTAAAGGAAGAGATAGAAGATAGGGAGGGGATGAGAAGGCGAGCGATTTAGTGACCGTATGCATCGGTTTCCCCTCTAGTCGTCGATCTAATGTGAACCAGCCATCAGACGCGCATGCTACTATATGTATATACAGAGAGGCCACTAGACACGTATAAAGGCAGAGGCACAACCAAAGAGTGGCGGAAGTTAGGCTTAGGTGGGAGCGCACGTAGAGAAGGGTACATGTTAACCTGTAGTGGGGAACCGCGGTGGAAATGTTATGCTATGAGGTTATACTGGCGAAGAGAGAGATGGGAAGTGATGGTGGATTAGAGAAGTGGGGATATCGCTTTTGGAGGGGTAACGATGGTGACCGTGGTGCTACGGTGACGATGGTAGGAACGAACCTGGATACGCTAAGGTATAGTGGGGAGTCAGACCCTCGGTCACTGACTCTAGAAACTACGACAGCTTTTGTGCTTCATTCACGAGCGCGCCACCTACTCGTGCACGGCAGTTTGTTTGCCAGCGAACGTCTTTTCTCTTTTCTTACCACTTTTATCTTTGCGTTTCTGCACTCATTTCCCTCTTTTTCACTTCACTTAGAATTTCACCATTTGTCTCTCTATCTTTCTCTTTCTTCTTTGGTTGCTATTTAATATATCGGTATCACCTTTTCTCTATCATCTCACTTGCGCGATACCTATGTGGCTTTTTCCATTGTTATCGCGCACGCATCTGATTTATCGCGCGGTTCGTTACGATCAACAACAATTCTCGAGCATGCAGTGATGGTGCGCACGCTGCTGCACACAGTATATAGGAGTACGCAGTGGACACAGGCCATCGATGGCGAAGGTGGGAGTAGGGTGTAACGCGGAGGGGATCGCGTAGGTAGCCACGCGAGATGCATTGTATACCCGCGGAAGGAAGGAAGGCAGGCATAAAAAAAATGCATGCGATACAGGTCAGATCGATCTTCTCGTTTCATACGTTCGTGCGCGTCGACGCACATCCAAATGAACGTGTCAAGTGTGTTGGCAAATGCAATTTAAATTTGCGTTATGAAAAGAACAGTTATTAGTATATCGTTATTGAATAAAATATGAATAAGGTTTATCTGATGATTTAAGAAAAATTCATTTGTGTAAAATTGAAAATCATTTTGAAGTATTTTATAGAAATAGAAATTTTTTATTAAAGAATGATGAAATTAGAAAAAGAGAAAAAATAGAAGTATGAACATATGTAATAATGACATGTTATTGCATCGGACTATTTTTCCCGTGGGTCATGATGAAACCTTAAAGGAAGGTGAATATACATATAGGAAGATCGATCCCTTGTTTTCACGGTCACGCCTCTATGCGCACGGTTGAAATGCGACAGGAGATGAGAAAAAGTACGTTTGATGATAAATCTCGGTTTTATTCTTGCGATGTGATTTTTTTCACAAGCGATATCACAAGCAAAAATTTTCCTCATTGGATAATTTAGTAATAAATCAGTTCAAACAAAATTTCTTGCAAAAATATGCGTGCAAATGATTTGTTAATAAAATGTCTGTTGTCTTTCCATAATATTTTTTCTTATTGTACAATGAAATGTTTTCTTTTTTGAATCAAATGATTGATTTTCAAGTTAATATTATTTTATTTGATAATAAAATAGATTTATTTTCTATAAGAAAAGTTATGTATGAAATTGATAAAAGTTAATAATTTAATTTTATAAATCAGAAGTGATTTATAAAATGAAAAACGAGTATTGGTCTTGCACACGAACTCGATCGTAATACGGATGATTTAAACATTGTAATTCGCTCCCTATCTCCGCGCATCCGGTCTGTTACCGCGTTGCGCGTGCTCACTGGCATGATGGTGCGTAATATAACAGGCAATGCGCGTTAAACGATAATTTAAGTCTGTCTATCGTGTACTTAAATAATGCTTTACAATTCAGGTTTACAACTTCATAGTATATTGCATCGAACTTGTATTTAGTACTTTGGCTATGCTAAAAGCGTAAATTTTTTAAAATCCATCCATGTAGTTGAATGTAATAGAATTATTTAATTTTTCTTTATCACTACATGCAATTGATTTAAATTGGATTTTTTGATTATCTATTTAATATTTCTTCTTTTTTTTAATATATATGTTTTTCAATCCTAATTTTAACAAAATAAGATTGATCAATGATTTTTTAAAGATTTTCAACATATAAATATAGATAGATTCCTCTTTCATATATATATATATATATATATGATATTAAGATTGATATAGTACTGCTTAACTATTCCAGAATTCTAGGTGTGTGATCGACCACTACACCATTGCTAACCACTCCTACCGCACAGCATCAGTCAATGTGCATTGTATGCTGTTCTATAAACTGTTATAGAGGCGCTCGTAATCTATTGGTAGTTACATACTGTTGAGACTCACATTGACCAGATAAGCGTAGATTAGCCATGTATAAAAATGCGCATCATGAAGAAAAGAGAGTAAAGGACGAAAATATGAGAGGATTGCGAGATAGAAAAGTAGACAAAAAATATGAGAATAGTTTTTAGAAAAATTGGCAATCACATATTCATCACTGGAATACTATAAATGGGACGGAGACATTAATTCGATCACGAATCAAATATTGGAGCAAAACAAAGTAGGTTAGACTAGAAGAACGGGATAAATAAGGGCAGATAAAGCGGAGCAGAACGCAGCAGTGCACTGTGTCGACGAACGAGCACGCGGGCAAATGAGTTGCACGAATGCGCATGCGCTTTGTCCCCGGCAAACCCCCACCATACGTGTCCGGCCGCGTGGCGTCCTGATCAATTGCGACGTTGCCGAGTCTTCGGCTGACCCGGTGAAAGACGGAGGAAGAGAGATAAAGCGAGACGGTGCTCCCTGGCGTTTTCATTTCTCCCCACCACTCAACTTATCGTTACCGCTCACCCTGCCGACCTAGGGGAATATCCTTGCCCGTCCCTACTGTCGTAGCACGTGGAGACGCGCCTCTTTCAATTTTTCATACCTTATCGACCTGTGGATTCAACCGTCCATATGCCGCGGCAAGATGCCGTTTAAGAAAATCTAGGAATGAATCAGGAATAGAAAATGCGATGAAGGTACAATGAAATGATGTATAGCATTTATTTGCTTTGCACTAGTAGCTATTATTTTTCTATTCGTTATATGCTGTTACATTTATCGTAATATTACGTGAGGAGAATAGGAAAGGAAGTAATATTGAAAAATAAAATTAAACATTTAAGTCTTTGGAAATTTTATTTAATAATTTAATTACTAGGGGAATTTATTTAAAAATTTTATAACAAAAATTCTGTTAACTTTTTTCCCTTTTTTGAAAGATTAAAATTATAATAATTTTTTTCATTATTCATATTTTTCAGGTGCCAAATTAAAAAGGGAACGTACAGAACAAGATGATTTATTTTGCGAAGAAAAGATGCTTATTATCGACGGTAAGTGTCAATAAAAAAATTTTAAATTTCGTATATATGTATTTTTGCATAAAATAATAATATGAAATGACACGAATTTACGATGATTTAGCGCAATCGGTCGCGTATTCTTATAGTCGAGAAGATCTTATTTAATTTTTAACTTTTATAAAATTCATATAATAAAGTTTTTTTGCGCTACTTTGAATCGTACATATATCCACGGTGCGCACAAATAAGTCGCGTACACCGTTTTAACTAACCAATCGATTGTCCTTCCTGTTACGGTGATCATGCATAATTCACTGAGTTCGAGTAGTTCCACACAGTTGCCTTCGATTCCTAACCTGTCGATCAACGAGGATCCAGTTTCTCTACGTGACGAGGCACCGTGTCTGTCGTTCTTTAAAATCAACCATTGCGGTGCCAACGAACACGGAAAAACACGGTGACGGTTACTGAACAGAGATAAAGGAGCTTGCATACGAGGAATACAGCTACGAAGTCAAATGATTCAATCAAAATGTCGTTAACTCTCTCCATCCTTTTTTATATTTACAACTTTTTTTTTAAGTCATCGAATGTATAATTTGTCGATCTAACGATTTTCTTTCGCTCCGATTACGTTTCGAAACGCACACGCGACTTCGCGGCGACCGTTTCAAGTTTCAACACGTCGCGGGATGTAAGTACAATATATACATATATTGAAGAGGGAGACAGATCGAGATAGACTGCGTGCCCTCGGGCGACAAGGACAGAGTGTCGCGGGTGACTGGAGGCAGTTCTCGTGCGAACGGAGATGTCACGGAAAGCGGTAGCGGAGGACCGAGAGGAGATTGGTCGGCGTCGCTGCCGCCGTCGCCACTGGCGGCGTGCACGGGTCGGCGAGGTGGGGTAAGGGAATAGGGGATCGTCATCCTCAGGTTGGAGGCGGTGGCACTTACGTTTAGACTTCAGTCGGCACCCGCGACTCACGCGGTTATGAGTTTCCTTCGTTTATCGATTTATCCACGCAATCGTCCGATCGGTACAAGTGATCATCAATCATTATTTCGTCCGATCAGTACACATTTATACGTCTTACTTATCGACTGATGATCGATTTACAAAATCATTCGATGACTACAACGCGACATCGATTGATATGTTATAGTTTTTTCTATTTCACTTGAAGAATATATCGTACAATATCGATTCGATTTGTGAAGTCGTATATACAAGAAGTTAGACCGTCTGTTAGATACGCAAAAAGGTCGCCGGTCGAGGTTGCAGGCACACCGATATTCAAGACGCAGCATTATCATTTACAATTACACAAGTCCGTCGAATGAGAAAACCACGTTGCGATTTAGGATAGTGTCATATATGATCTACAATTTTATAAATTTTTGTTAAACGTTATCTCGAAAAATTGTCCCCGAAGATAAATCACAAAATTTATTTTATTATCACGATATTGCCTCGAAGATATTGAGACCCGTATGATCGATCAATAGAATTGAAGACTATATCCATTTCATGACATTTAAATTTCATAAATGCGAATCTTCAGAACGTTTAAAAGGATTTCCATATTGGAATTGTGCATGTCAAGTTTCGAATGTATCGAGATCGAACGTACAAGAGGACTTGTCAGAAGCAACACCACGCACAAAGTATCGGGAGTGTTTCGAAAGTTCTAATTTTTTCCTGCCGGTATAAACAGCGACATCGTCGTGTTCACTTGTCGTAACCGTTTCCCCTCTCTGTGTGAAACTGTGACGCAGCCCTCTCTCCTTTCCACGCGCTTCGCATTCCCGGTCGTTTCCACTTCTTTTCGACGGACCACTTGGTTCGACGTGTCCTGGACGACAATTTTATCGGTCATCGAAAGGCTATGCGTCCACAACGATTCGACCGTCAGCCAACGACGTCTTTATCTACCTCGTGCACACGAATAATGCTAACGTTTCTTGAGTTTTTTGACGAGAAGACGCGTGTCCCTTAAGGAGAAGCTCAACGACGTGTAATAATCGTGTGCATACCGATCGAAGTTCCTATTGAAGAAAGTTCCCAAGTCCTTTATATTGGAAAACTATCGTTATAATTACGCCATACTGTACGATATTTCTTTTCGTTCGATCGTCACACACGATATCTAGTTTCTTGGTTATAAGCAAACGAGAAGATATCGAATAGAAGGAAACACGATCTTGCCATTGTCCCGATCGCAAATTCATGGCTTTTTATGAAATATCATCAACAATCTGGAATTATAGAGTAGAAGATTACCGAAGAGAATAGCAAATGAATATAGAAATTGTTCTTTAGATGTGTTGAGAAAGGACTTGGAAAAAGAAAAAGAAATAATATTGAGTGTGTGAAAGAATATCGGTAGATCTGTATATCTGTAACGGCTAGTACAAGCGTGCGCTCGTTTTTTTCTTCCTTTTCTTCTTTTTCCGTTTCCTCGACGCGTGTTCGTACGACAGAGAGCAACGTGTGTGTGATCGCGAGTGATCGTCAAGAACATGGGAGTTCTGTTGGTATCGGATGGCACAGCGGCGGTTCAACCTCGTATGAATTTGAACACTGTTAAAGCTGCGGGAGCGCAGCGTGCGATCGACGTTGGTAACGAGACGAATAACAATGTAAACGGCCTGAGAGACGCGAATAGTCCGATGCCGACGCAGGTCGTCGGTATAATCAACGTGGTCAACGACGAGCCGGTGCGCAGCTGGATGCCACCTCCACCTAAGAAAAAATGGATACGGCATTATCTGCTCGGTGAGCCAATCTTTTTCTATGATTTTCTTCCTGTGTTTTTCATCTCGGTTTGAACGCCTCGGATTTTCAGTTTTTATGAAATGTCGTTCGTATAAAGATTAATATATATTATCTATTTAGATACGAGTGGTATCGGAATGATTATGATTGTATGAAGAGTATCAATTTACACATACTGTTAGATAGTTTCAGTTAGTAAAATATTAAGTGAAGAATATTCTGTAGTCGTCGTATGGATTTTATTTATAAGGAAATGAAAAATATATATGTCACTGATCGAGTTGGTTTTTTTTTTTTATTTTTATTTCAAAAAATTTGTTATGGAATAATTCAATATTATTAATTTCTAATATCTTAAATTGTACGACTATCGTTTGATATAATTGTTAAATCTATTCTGCAAAGTATTATTATTGAATAAAAATAATAAGAGAAAAAAAAAAGCGTTGTTATGCTATCAAAAATTGACATTTTTCGATTCATCGAATATTATTAGAAGAATAAAAAAAGAAGTAAATTATTTGTGCTTCAAAACGAAGTTCAGTTTAATTGTAGACAACGATATTTGTTTGATAGAATAATAAAGAAGCTCTCCTTAAAATGAAAAAGGAACTATGATCAGTCCTGAAAGTTTCCCGCGTTTGAATTGGCAATTTGAAATTAATCCAGGGGATGGAGTTTGTAGAAATTTTGTTGAATTGTAACGATAATCAAACAGATGTCCGACGAAATAAAAATTATAATTAATAAATTACAATTATTTTTACGAATATATATTTCATCCTTTATTTTCACAAATAATTGTAATTCATTATAAATTCCATCTTATACGAATGATCCATTTCTCGGAACAATATTCTCAGATGATTACTCGAGAGTTAAAATTCAATATTATCAATGTTTCTAATGTTAATTTTATATTTTCATTATATTTTTCATTTAATTATCTGAATTCATACGGAACGATCGAACAGTTTGCATCCATAATACTTCAACATTGAAAACGCGATAAAACTTCGATCCGACGATAACCGTGTTTCAAACGTCTTTTATCGATCAATTACTTGGGCAAATATCCTGTAATTGGAGAATGTCGTGCAGATAATGAACAGAAAGGGAAACTCGTGATTTACGCAATTAAACATGTGCTGGCTAGTTACAGAGGAACTTGATTTTTACATCACGTTTCCGTGTTTATGGATGAATGAACGTGATAAAAGAAGCTCATTAAATGACGATCGTGTGATAATTTACAAATTTCTTTTTTTGTGACCAGTCTTGAAGAATTAATGGAATAGAAATTACTATAAGAACTAACTTTGATTTTTCTTACCTTATTTCAATTTGTCTTTTTTCTATTAACTCTCTATTCTTTTTTTCTCTCTCTTTTTAATACGTAATCAAACAAATCTTTTTTACATATATCATTTATTAATTACATTTATTAATGAATGGAAAAAAAGAGATGCATTGTTGCACATACTTCTTTCCTGCAATTTAATTGAAATCAAAGCTTTCGATATTTTAATCTATTTTATAAAATTTTTGAAAAATTTAGCAAAATTTATTAAACTTCCATATTATTTTAATTATATCTTCACCGAGATACACGGATGTTCGATCGAGAAGGGGAAGATTTGAAAAATTAAAAAAATATTTATTAAAAAAAATATCAACACGGTATTCCACAGTACAAAGGATAAAAGATTTCCGTTCGCGATTTCAATTCGCACATTCGATCCGCTCGTTCGATTTGCAAAATTGCTACGGTGTGCACGGGTGTGCTTCTAATTTTAAAGCCGGCTCGGTTTGGCGTGACATCAAGGCAATTATACGCGTGTGCATTCGGCACACACCGTGCGTTACCGGTCCCCTCGCGATACCACCGATTTCCTATTCCATCTTGCCCACGAGTGTCCGCTTTACTCCTAGTCGTTATCTCGCCGGCACGTGGTCGCTCGCGACGCCGTATCGCGGCCGTGACACTGCACTTAACCATCAACTAGCAGTCGTAACAATTCCCTGCGGTTACAGTTTTCAACGGTGGCGGCAAGAGCGCGACGAGCAACCGGGCAGACCCGCTCATGGCGAAATATATATCGCGCTTTTTTATCGATCACATCATCACGACCGTATTTATATGTACGCGTTTACATTACGCGATGTCGTTCATTTGTACACGCGTCCAATCGATGTAATATATACGCGATTAATATTTTTAGTAGAATATGATCCAGAAGTGGGCTATTGAAAAGTGGGATGTTCTTCCTTATCGACGTCACTCAACGATAGAGAATATTATGAAATATTATGAAATTCTCATAGTATTCGTGAAAACGAATCTTTAAATATCGTTTGAGAAACTCGAATCTAAAGTATAACCTTTCTGTATGTGTGTTGATACTTGTCGAAAAAATATAATTCCAATTAAATACGATAAGATTTTTATCAGAGATTTCGGTGCTAGTGACATTAGCCTAGTGTTTTTCCAGAACGGCTTTTGATTGGTGATTTTTTGAACTTGGTTTATTTTACTACTTTTTCGAAATCTTTAAGTTATTTTTATAATCTGTACGACTGCAGAATTTCCTACGTTTAATTCTCTTATCTACGCTTACGCGATTTAATAAAATTTTATTTCGTTTGATGTAATATGATAATATAAAATATCCTACGACCTACTATCTAGGGAAAAAATGGCTCCATATTAAAAAATTAACATTAAATTAACAGTCTATAATATATAATCCAGGATTTCGTTGTGGTTTTTACGAGGATATTCGATTAGGATAGATAATTCTAGGTGACTTTTTTTTATTGGCAACGCAATTGAAGCTGCTCCCGTTAGAAAAGGTTTCATTTAACGAAAGACACCGTTAAAAGGAGCCATGTCTTTTTTTCTTGAGCATCGAGGATGCTTCGACTTTAAAGTGGTTACGCACGCACAGCCTATAAATATTCTTTAGCTGGACGTTGGGTTCTCGCGTTACAGCAGGACCACTGATTGAGCTAGCAGGGATAGATTGGCTAAAACTTTAAATACGATTGATTCTGACCGTGAACCCATCGATTTGGAAGTTCACTTTTGTAAGAAAATTTTCTTCAGAGATCGATCTCGTTCTTGTATCGAAATATTCGCGATAAAATTTATTAAAAGGAACGGTAATTGGGAAAAATCTTGATTGTTTATAAATTATTAAAACTGGGAATTATTGAAAAATATAATTACTTTTTTTTTATTTTTTCACTATTTAAATAGAAGAAATTAATTTTCCACTCGTTTTCGATTCGAAAACGAAACGAATCTCTGGATATTCAATCGGTCCAGAAGGATTTCGTCAGTCGAAACGTCGCATCGTATTATCACGTGAAGTGGACTTCACTTTTGATGTCGGACGTAAATAGGCGTGTTTACATTTACATCTAGTTACTTTGACCTCGAACCGTAAAGGCTGATTTCATGCCGATTTCGCAGATAAAAGAACAGTCACGTTCTTTCGTCTCTGACCATTTTAGCTCATCGCGGGGAATTACCATTCGAACGTCCGTCTAGACGGGCAGGCTCGTCTCTATAGTCTTTAATCTTAGCCTGCAGTTCCTCTCTTCCAAAGGATTTTGTTGGAAGATATGCTCAATAAGAGCCATTCGTGGTTTCAATATCTGTGAAAATATCGATTATTAAGATTCAAGCCTTCTTTATTTCTTTATATTGTTCCTTCTTTTTCTCAATATTTCCTCTCCTTTCCTCCCCCGATTTCTTTGCGAATTTGTTTCATAAATAAAATAAATTACAATTTTAAATGTAATTTTATAAATTTTATTTATTATTCAATTATGAAAATTTTTCCCGTTTGCAATTTTACATATATATATATAAGAGAGACTGTATCGTAGAAGGGGATAATGATTATTTATTGGGAATAAATTTTAAATAATCATTCCTCTTTCTTATTATAATAATTCTACATACACAATAAACGTATCTATCCATATTATCAAACATCATTAAATGATTTGGATATACAATTGTTCCCTTGAAAGTTTATTTACAATTTAAAGGTTGAAATTATGTTTATAATTTTATGGAGAAGTTTGAGAAGCGCGTGCGTACGAATATATCAATACATTCTTTCTTTTCAGGAACCGTAAAAAGAAACTTTTTGCATTGTAAGGGCTCACATTGGCTGAATAATTCAATCCACGATCGACAAACGCAATTTTCTTACTTCCACGCGATGAATAAATAATATTTAATTCAATAAAACATGTGTAACCGGTCTAATGGATAAGGGAAAGGCTTTCTCCATTTTTACTGTGCGTGTAACTTGAAAATTCGAAATTCTTCAGATATTCTTAATAGCTTCTCTTCAAGTACAAACTTTTTTTACTACCGTTTTCTTTTTATAGTTCTCCTTAGTAACAAGCTTCTCCGAGTTATACTAGGTGATTCAGTCGATGTAAAGTTCGTCTCGTTTACGCGATTCCAGGATAAAAAGAAAAAAATGTATCTGGTTATTTAACAAATAGCCCTTGGCAATTAATTTCAATATTTTTATATAATTCATTGTCACGTTTAATATGTGTGGATAAACACATAATATGTGTGGATTTGGAAAATTTTTCACGAAGCGAAACGAAAGGAGAACGTTGTTTGATAAATTTTTTTTCCTTTTTTTTTTTTTTTTTTTCGAATACGATTTTATTTGAACAATTTTGTTTGAGTTTCGTCTTACAATTTCTGGATAAAATTCGAAAGAACAGACATTTGCTTTTATCTTGTAACAAAAAAAAAAAAAAAAAAGAAAAGAAAAGAAGAAAAAAATGAGAGAGATAAAGTTTGAATAAAGGCAGCAGGCAGATACGAGTGAAGATAGAATGCAAAATTTGGTGGAAAGATTTAACCTGTCGAACCTTGCGTCAACCTTCTTACGCAAGACCAGACTTCCTGTCCCTGTTTACAGAAATTTATCACGCGAAGTAGGCCATTCGATAAAGGCCGA